AGAAATGCTGGAAGAAGCAGAAAGAGAAAGAAGAGAAGAAGGAGAAGCGCTGCGGCTGCTGCTGCAGCAAGCTGAGACAGAAAGGCGAGAAGCAATAGCAGCAGCACTGCAGCAAGTGGAGGCCCTGGCCAGCAAGGGGCAGCAGGAAGCAGCAGCAAAAGAGACACAAAAGAATAAAGAAATCAAAGAACTGCATGCGCAGCTGCAGCAGCTCAACAAACAAAAAGAACTTCTCCGCAAACAAATCGAGCTGCTGCAGCAGTTCTGCAGCAGCGACCAGTGCGTCCTGCTGCAGCAGCCTCCCACTGCAGCAGCAGCAGCAGCAGCAGCGGGAAAGGAGGCGGGCGAAGCGTCTCCCCAAGCGGGGGGCCCCTCAGGGGGGTCTTCTCCCTCTCGGGGGGCCCCCCAAGGAAAGGGGCCCCCAGGGGCCCCCCCCTCAGGGAAAAGCCCCCCGGGGGGAAGCCCCATAATGGGGGGCCCCCCAGAGGGGGGCCCCCCTGGGGGGCCCCCCCCAGTGGGTAGCCCGCCCCCGAAGGGGGCCCCCTCCCCAGGGGGACCCCCGCAAGCGGGGGGCCCCCAGGGGGGCCCCCAGTGGCGGCCCCCAGGGGGTGGGGGCCCCCAGAGGGGCCCCCATGGGGGCCCCGGAAGTCTGGAGGAACTTTTAAAAGTGGTGAAGGGATTATCTGTGTTGGAAAAAAAAGAAAGAGAAAAATTTTTGTTGGAAACAAGAGCAGCAGTTGAAGAAATAGGAGAAAAAGAAAAAGAAAGAAAGAAATTAAAAGAAACAATTGAAAAGACTTTGGAGCTTGCAATGAGGACTTGGGAAAAGAGAAATGAAAATAAAAAAAGAAGTGAAAGTGAAAAAAGAAATGAAAATAAAAAAAGAAATGAAATTCAAAAAAACCCCAAAGTCGATAAAAGCACGCAAGACACTCCAGACACAGAGACGCTCCAAAAGGTGGTTTAAATAAATAATTTTTTTAAAATAAATAATTTATTTCAAATAAATAATTTATTTTAAATAAATAATTTATTTTAAATAAACAATTGATTTAAATTAAAGAAGAG